GTAACTGTACTGATCGTCGCTGCCCACACGCCCACTCCTTGACCCTCAAGATGTCATCACCCCGACCAGTATCTCCAGCACAGTATTCCCTTGTGACATCACCCCCGCCACAGCCCCGATCTTTATTGCCATTTCTCCCATTTTTGCTGACTTGAGCGCAGCACCTTCTGTCGTGGCACATGCCATGCTCCCGGCAGCATTGTCCAGGCCCTCGCAGAGAGACCGCGTGGATTCCTTCATCACCGAAGCCATGCCGACTCGGAACTTTGAGGACGATGACTCACCTCCCAGACCTTTTCTAGTTGTGGTCCTCCTTGTTTTGCTGCACTCTCGGTGGGTTTTGTACCCCCACCTTCGGAACCTGCCTCGCCCGCCGATCCGCTCAATCCAGTCCCCCTCAATTCCTCTGACGGCATCGTGTTGTCGCAATTGAAGGACGCCTTCTTTTGGTACCACTCCATGACGTCCCACAACAGCTTCTCAAACATCAGGGGTATCCCCAATGTCTTCCTCTCCTCCGTAGTAATGCCGTAGTACCCCGGTTTGTCGGAGCCAATGTAGGCATCACGAACCTCCCTGACCTTCTTCTGGAACTCTGTCCACTTCTTCCGACAATCTTCCCCTATCTGCGAATACCCCAGGTCTGCAAGTCACTTCGCGAGCCACTCATACCTCCTTGTCCTTGTCATGTGCTGCTGAGCGCCCTCCGCATCGGCCACGAGGGTGTCATCCTCGCTGCTTAACCTCACCAGCCTGAGGGCTATTCGCTCTTCCAGAGTTCATGGATTGTTCTTCTTCGGCTGGGTTATGGGATTCCCCCCTTTCTTCCGGGTACCAGATGCAGGTCTCACGGTGCTCCACCCATGTCCACCTCCACGTGGGTTCATCGACGAATCGGCTACCGGTCCTTCATCACCATCGCCACCGTCGAAATTCTTCCCATCCAATCCTGCCGCCAGCCCTTCACCCTCACCGTCTGAAGCCACACCCGCCATGTCCGACAAACACTCCCCGACCATGACCATGTCCCTCATTGCATTGGCGCTCCCTGCCTGTCTACCTTCCGTCCTTCCCATCGGGAATACGTATTCCTGTATTACGGAAGCCACCCATGTCCCCTGCTCGTCGTCCAGCATTGTCCTTTGCCGCGGTTCTTGGTGGCGTGTCGGCGATTGCTGAGCACTGACCCCGCCTGGATATGCGACACTAGGCACCGCGTAGTGCCACACCACCCCGGGTCCCCCCACTGAAACATGTTGGTATCGCGAAGCACGATCACACACAGTTGTCTGCCCCCCTGCGGTCGGCCGATGCGCATGCCCTGCCTGCAGCAACGATATCACACTCATTCGCTGTGTGGGCGCCATGTCTTCGTATTGTCCGGCAACACCCCAAACACCGACATTGATTGCTGATGCGCCTCCCCATGACTGGTAGGACACGTGTGTCGGCCTTTCGTTGTTGTTTGTTGTCCTCTGTGCAGTCTCCATGTACTTTTCTCGCCCCATGAGACCCCCACGACCGTCGACGCATGACGAAGCTTGTGTTCCCATGGCCGCGAAAGTCGTGTTGTGCAGTCCGTCTCTGTCCGCCTGGTCCAAACGGTGAGTCATGGAACCATGACCTGCCATGATGGGCCACGTCATTGACGAATATCCTGTCCTGCGCATACGTTCATGGCGCTGACCATCTCCAGCACGAACCTCGTCGGTGTCGTACATCGATGCACTGAGATCCCCGTATAGTTCGGATGTGGAACTTTGTCCCTCCATCGATCTACCGCCTTGTCAGCAAGACAGTGACGAGAACGGTAGTGAAACAGATCACGACGAGGACACAGAAAGCAATCAGCAGCGCTGCAATTATAGTCGCTCCCCGAAGTACAAAGCTGAGAATGCAGCCCTGCCCGTTGTTGTTGCAGCCTTGGAAGTTGGAAGACGATAAATATCGGAGTTCGTGGTGACGTCGCCAGCCGTCTTCCGCGGTCGCAGCACTTGCATTCATCAGCTACAGGTGATAGCACTGGAGATGGCATGTGGACATGCTTCACGAACATCCCCCGACGTTCTGCGTTAACAAGCACCTTTGTCGACCGATGCACGACATCCCCGACGACCCTCAACCTTGCATCAGAGCTCGTTAGAGGCCATGCGATTTCGCCTCGCCGGCAAAGCGAGCTCCTTGAAGAACTCCCTATCGACATCAGTCGGATGGCACACACGAAGTTTGCAGCGTTGACTCCCGTCACAGCTGCCGCTATGGCCAGCGATCGTCGACAGAAGAACGACAACCAAGGGCCGACCACACCTCGATCATGGAGGGATTGGCAGTGCTCCCGGAAGTCACTCTGCAATCTGCCACCAACGACGACCTTGCATGCCGCTGCATGAAGGTGACGGCAACCGGACTTCCACGGCAATGTGCAGCGATGGAGGTTGGAGAAGGCTTGCATGACCAAAGGCCGAGGGTACGAACCACCCACGTGCGCGGTGAGCTCGTCACAGGTGCCTTCACATGCGATCACTCAATCGACGTCGGCTGCGTGATGATGCCAACGGCCCAACGGCATGCAAAATCCCCAGCTTTCGAATTCAAAATCGAAAGGGCGGGCCTTCGCCCGCCCATTTGTTACCCGGTCATGCGGGGCCCCGTCTCACCGTGCGGCAGCCTCCATGGAACACACTGCTGCTCCTGGACCCGAACACACGGTTGGGCGGACATCTTCTCGCCCGGCGTGTGGTCGACACTTTGGAAACCTTCGGGATGCGCGCCCCTCCAATGTTCAAGAGTCGACACAATATTGCGACGAAAATCCCTCCCGCGGAACTTTTCCACGTCGCAGACCATGTGGAAACGGAATTCGGCGGTTTTCCAAGTCACAAACCGCAGCATGTGGGGCCCCGCGGAAAACACAGAACCTTTCCATAACCTTTTCCAGGGCATGTGGGGTCCCGGAAACAATTTCGTGGCAAAAGTTTTCCTTGCCACATTCCTGTGGGGTCCAGGCCTAAGAATAACAACAGAACGGAGGAGCGCTAGCGCTTTGCGCCCCACGGACTGTAGGGCCTGTCCGTCAGGATACGCACAAGCCGTGAAGAGATGGCGGCCATTTGACCGACCCGCCTGTCTCGACGTGGTTTGACCATCGCGACCCAGGGCCTTCTGCCCTGAACGAGGACGATCCCGTGTGGGAGATTGGTGATGCGAAGTAGCTAGCGCATGAAGATGCAAAGAGCCACATACGGAGTGCCGAGAACACTGATGTGGGAGGTTACCGGTGTTGACCGCCAGATTGAGGGGAGACAACGCTGCTTCAGGGGGCAGGAACGTGGAAATGGAGATGAGGTGAGCTGGAAGACTGGTGTTGACCGCCGGATTGAGGGGAGATAACGCTGCTTCAGGGGGTAGGAACGTGGAAACGGAGATGAGGTGAGCTGGAACACCTGATCGATGCGGAGAGTCGGAGACACATACGAGTCAACTTTGGATTATCACGGCGGCAGAAAAAGACTTGGCACAACTAGACATAGATTGGGTGACGCACTTGACTCTGGAAGAAGCGGGGAGGGGTAAGGCGGCAAGGGAGAAAGCGAGCTGAGGCGACAAAGGTGGTCGGGTGGAGTGGGGAGAAGTGCGGCAGCATGAGAGAGGGAGTGCCGAGAACGCTGATGGGGGAGGTGACCGGTGTTGACCGCTGGATTGAGGAGAGACAAAGCTGCTTCAGGGGGCGGGAACGTGGAAACGGAGATGAGGTGAGCTGGAACACCTGATCGAAGAGGAGACAGAGTTTGGGTGTTGGGTGATGGCGCAGTTAACTGGGAAAGGACGGTGAGGAGTGCAACCGAGGAGTGAGGTGCGACCGGAGGATCTGATGGCGACGATCAACATGAGCGAACGTATTTCGCTGTAAGCGGAAGGAGAGGCGCCGTGCACCGGCGTGGCTACTTCGCCATTTCTTTCGGTGATACCCTGCATCCTGCCCCGAATCTGCAACTCAGACATCACAAATCTCCACCCGTCCCGCAGATGTGTCCCCCTGCCCCCCCCTCCTTCCCCCCCCC